CCGATAAACCCCCACACCCCCCACACCCCACACACGATACGCACGCACACAGCCGGACACAACCGCACACAACCGCACACAACCGCGCACAACCGCACACAGCCGCGCACAACCGCACACAGCCGCGCTCCCTGTGCCGGAGAGGAGTCTCCTTTTACCGTCCTTTTACCGTGCCTTTAGGCGGCCGCCCGCGCCGCCGTGTACGGCAAGGGGCCGCACGCCAAGGACCAGGACCCGCCCGTGGCTCGCACGCGGAGTGTCCTTGTTCCGGAGGCGGCACTTCTACTTCTTGTAGGACCAGACCCTCAAGTGGCTCGCCGCGAGGGAGGAGAGCGACGAACCCCCCCCCCCCCCCTCCACGGCACCTCGCGGCACCTCACCTCACGGCACCTCACCTCACACCTCCCCAGGAGAGCAACCCCGCGAGCGCACGCGACAGCTCCTACTCTGCCGACGACGGCGGAGGCGTCAACGCGGTCGGCGAGGTGCCCGTCCCGCCGCTAGAACGACACGTTCTTTTGCAGCTTGCCCCCTTCCCTCCCCCCCCTCCCACAGGCTAGGGACAGCCCCCACCCGTACACACAGGAGAGAGAGGGGAGTGCGCCTCGACACCCTACTCGCCCTCTAAATACACATATTGCAGGGTGTAGCGTGCGCCCCCCGAGAATGGCGACACACAGCGCAGACATAGCGGGGGGCACTGCGCGCTCGTCCAGAGAGCCGCTTGGGTTTAGAAGGGTCGCTCCGGTCCTTGGGAGGAGTACAGTAGGCAACCTCTTGCTTCCAAGATCGGACCCCTCTCCACGCCCAAGCGACTAGCGACACAGGACGACCTCCGGGCTGCTGCCTGCTGTGCTACTTCTAGGCGCCCGTCGTCGCGACGCTCCGCCGACGCGAGCGCGTCAAGAGCGCCAAGGAGGCCAAGGAGCCGCCCGCCGCCGCCCTGCCCCTCGCGGCCGCCAGCCCAGAGCAGCTCGAGCAACGGATGGCCGAGATGGGTGCGCCCACCCCCCCGCCTCCCTACCTCCGTCCTCCGATCCACCCCCCCCTAA